TTGCAAGGTTTTGGATGGAAATGTGACATCGGTAATCAAGTGTGTAAAATTTTTAATGGGAAGGACTTCAAGAATCTAGGGCTGCAGAATGACACACATACCTTTAGTTAAAATCTTGAATTTACTCTTTGGTCCTGTTGTCAACAGTCTGTTCAAGTTAAAAAAGATATTAGGTGATAGGATTTGTTAAAAAACCTAAAAATACAATCGCTGTTTATTAAAAAATTTAAAATCTAAACTCACCAGTTTTTTGCAAGTTTGACCTCGTGGAGGAAAGCGAGAAAGAGACAGCGCAGTAAATTACCCACAATACCATGCTATATCTGCGAAGGCACGTGATCTTATCATTGAGCTATATATAATACTGGAAAAATTTGAGTTGATCAGGTTGATCCATGAGATTAAACCCCAGTAAGAGTGAGTCTTTAGAGAACCTTGTGATAGCAACACTATACTTTGCACAAGCAATACATATCATGGGAACAAAACAACGAATGGATTTTTATTCAATAATGCGCCACATTTATACAACAACAAAGTATTGGCAAATTAAGAATTAGACGAGGGGGCATTGTCTATGGAGCGAATAGTCAACGAAGGCGTGGCGGAGTTTACTGTTTGCCATAGACAACGGAGGTTGAGTTGTTCACCATAGACGAGGAGGTTGAGTTGTCTAATCGTTTTAGCTTCACTCTGAACTTTATCTTTTGGCTCATGGTTGACCAATTTGTAATGGTCCATGATTCAGTGTATATGTGAGGAAGAAAAAAATTTTCGAACCATATTTGTTAAAAAAGGGGTTCAAAAAAAATTTTCCGGATCATATTAAACAGGTAAAAAAAGTCACAATCCATGTATCTGGACACCCGGGGTCGCCATGAAGCTCTAGTTCTGTGATTAGTTGATTATGACAATGACAAAAGAATCAGCTATATAGAATGGATTTTCTAAAGAACAGGGCAAGAACAATATTCCTTTTGTTTATGTAAGCCAATTACGTCTTTTGTCATTGTCATAATCAACCAGTCACAGAACATCTTCCCAGAGCTTCATGTTTACTGGGGTACCCGCCAGTAATATTACATGTATAACAAATCAACTGTGAAGTTCAGCAGATTATTAAAGTTACTGTACCAATTCTTATCGGAAGTGAACTGCTAGCTTGCATGCATTGCATCATGGACAATAAACACAAATATTTATGTAAAATTATAATTATTTTAATTACACTTATCATTATAAACATTTACCACTTAATATGTTTAATATATGTAAATATATAAATTGGCAAGGTCTCAGACCACATTATACAATTTACAGACACTAATTAGGACTATTCCTGATTACTGAAACCTAGTCGAAACGTTGATAAAATGTTAACTATTTTCAGAGTATCTATTGTTTTGTTCTTTTTAAAATATATGACTACGATTATGTTGTTCTGCACAATGTTTGTATCAAACAAATGAAAATCACTGTGATTGTGATTGCAAATCACTGATAGTTCAAATATCTGATGATGTAGAAATGTAAACAGAAAGCCAGGGCAAAATGGCACTAATTGAATAAATATGTTGTTCATATTGTAACATATAGATGTTGACGTCGTTGCCCAGAATGCAATATTTTGAAGGTTGCGATGGTACATGTACATGTCCTTGATTTCGGATTTATACTGCAACAGTTATCCATGGCACACACGAGACACAGATTATGATTCCATGTAATTTAAAATAAGTAGGTTCTTCAACAAAATTCCAGTACAGTTGCATACTAAAGTGTATTTACTGTCCATGCATAACTTTGTGAATGAATCCATTGTATAAACCACTGTGGTAGGCAATCATAGCATAATTGTACTCCCAAAGGTTTTAGTGGCAGAGTTAGTGCATCAAATATTCTTTGAGTTAATAGCAAATATACAAATATAATAATCCATTTCTTTAAAGTAATAATCCATTTTCAATGAAGAGTTTGTTACAACAACCAGACTTTTTGCTAAACATACGATCTCCCTTCAGAGTATTAAAAATCTATAAAAAGAAAATAATGATTTGTTAGTATGTACAGTTAACCAAAAGATTGACCTAAATCTATGCCTATGAGTGTAGTTGGACTTTGAAAGAAGCTAATAATTTGTACTGCAGAAAAAATATACTTACCAATCTTCACCTTGCCAATCATCAAATTTCATACACTACGGAGATAAAACAAATTGAATTATCATATCATTGTTTTTAATTTATATATTAAAGCTAGATTACAGCAGTGAACTCTATATATATATATATATCTGGAACGATAACATTCAGTCATTTGATTGTGAAAACAATGAAGCCTCGATACCAGTCTTTCACGCGGATTGGACGTCAGTCTCAGTCCCTCAAACGTCAGGTTTACGCGGATTGGACGTCAGTTTCATTCCCCCTCTTGCAAACTGTTGCATGGCCAGTATAAATTTGAACGCAATCACGAAAAAAAATTAAAAACATGGCCAACTCAATGCAATACATTTTAGGAGCAAACTGTTTTGCTCCTAAAATTTACTGCATTGAGTTCCCTGTCAGAAAAAAAGTCGAGGAAAACTTCCCCGTGTGGAGAAAAGAATCACTTTTTCAAATATATTGTGTCGTACTGTCGTTCTGGATGCACAAGGAAAGAGAGATTCTTGCGAGAAAATTTCATTTCACAGGTAGGTAAATTGACTTGCAACTGTGACTTTGCCGTTGCCATTTTTCGCGATTGTTTGAATTGTTTTTTAGTTTACCAGTTTAGTTTTTAGTCAATACACTGGTACGTTATTTTTTAAAGAAATTATTGTGTGATCGGAATTTGCCTGCCAGCAAAATGTAAATGAATATGTACGTGTGTTTGAATATAAATTAGACCATATGGGCTTAGTAAAAAATTATTTTAATAACTACGTTTCGGAGTATAACTCCATCTTCAGGTTAAAAGTGAATAAAGATATAAAAACTGTGATAAAAACTTTCAAAACAATTACAAATTTTATATGTAAGTGATTTTTAATACTGTAAGAAAGTTCTTGAACAGTTGATGACGAACACAATGACGAATACTTATGTCGTGATTTTTTTTGTCGGCTTCACTTTTCGCTCGCTGTTATCATTCCAGATATATATATATAGAGTTCACTGGATTACAGTCGCTTCTGCGCATGTGTCAAAAATGTAAACAAATGTGAGCACACTTGTTTTGATTTTGTGTGCTCTCCAGTCCTTATTCGGATATGCGCGCTCAAAATGGCTGACTCGTAAGAGTTATATAATAGAGCCGTCCACTTCAAAGGCAAATTCTTCTAATGCTGGTCGCCAAAACCAACCAGGAAATCGAAAAGAACATTTAGCGAAAAGGTATGCAACGAAAATGTACTTTAATGATACTATTGGTCGGTGAAATCATTTCAAAACTGAAGCTGAAATTAAAAGTGACGAGGGTTCGCGAATACTATGCTGATCGAGCCTGTATACGAAACATCAAGACGGATTTAATTGTGGTAAGCACATAACACATATCCCTGGATATTTCAGTTATGTTAATGTTGTTATATTTCCTCATTACAAAATTTTATTGTTCACTTATAGCGCTGTGGAAACCCAGACGGATCAGTAGCCAGATGAAACAATACAATGCAGACATGAGCCATTGCCAGTATATGTTCAGCAAGGGGAAGAAACAGCAATGGAGCCATATAAAGATTCTTAAAGATTCTCCTAGGCAGTACGAATACATCCTACAACCTATAATGAAGGTATGTATAACATTTTATGCTTTCCTGAATCCTAGTGAGAATTGAGAAAAAAAGTGACTTTTAGTTTTCACTTTTCATTATGAAATTCCATATTCTTCATATCACATTTTCAAACAAATATTTTGATCATTCTGTAGGCATGTTGATTGACGTGTTTTAAGAGCACTTAAGGCTTTTTGGAAAGCCAAATTTTGATTTGCATGAACATTATTAACAAAATCAAAATGTGGCTTGAAAAAAGCCATTTGAGTGTTTTTAAAACACATTGGTCAGCAGCATTTAAACAGAAATAAAACTAATTATAAGTCTTCTTTAGATATGTGGAATGGTGTTGCAAGTGATTACCGAAGGCAAATCGCTCCTAACATAACCCCTGTCCCTCCTCCTTCAGTCAAAGAACTTGTTGAAACCCATCAGTATAAATTCAACTGATCACTGTAGACAAGTGTCTGCCAGTTAAAACAAAGTGCTCTGTTAGGTGGAGCTCATAATCCCTGAAAGGCAATCCACCTAGGAGAAGGAAATCTGATTACAAACCCCTGGACCCCAATACTGAGCCAGGGTGTCCATATTAAATTGGATTCATTGATCTTCGGTGCACAGCAATACACTTTTCAGGACTGAAGTAAGGAGCAAGGAGTAATTTTAAAGAATAAAAAAATCAATGTCAATATACAAAATGTTGTGCTTGAACATCCAATGTATTTGATAACTGGTCAGTCTTTTATATAATGAAATATTACTGTTCATAGACATTTAACCATTAACATGATAAAGGCTTTCATTTGTTAGCAAAATTTGCTGTGGTTACTAGACACAGAAAGCTTATAATAAGTTTGAAGCAATTTTGAACTGCAATTTTCTTCTTTTGGTGTATGTGTTAGAGTAAATAATAAAGCCATGCAAAGTAATGTTTCCTGTAATTTTGCTAAAACACAAATGCCAAAAGGAGAAAATCAAAGTTTAAAATCGCTTGTGTGAACGGGCCTTAACAGGTGTGAATTACCCAAGTTCTTTCAAAATATTTAAAATGATCCTCCCTGTCATGGGGAGATAATTGCAGTAAAATGGATTAATGAATAATAAAGTTTCCCTCAATGATCCCTCTAATGCATGCATGGCCATGTCCAGATCGAACATTTCCATCAAGTACTAACTGTGCCACTGTGGGAAGAGAGGGCTAGGCGGTTATGCAAGGCTGTCTTGATTGTGTACAGCATTTGTTTACCCATTTTGTTGGCATTGCAACACAGCATCCACATTTGTAATACTCTGAGGCATTTTCTGGTTTTTCGTAGCTGGGTCTGGTTGAAGCGGTTCACCTGGCAATTTACCAAATTGACAAATGCAGCTGCCTGATGCTGTATAAGCTCTAACGCAAATGCTCTTCAAAGGGCATTTAAATCCATTGCTTCCACAAGATTCTGAAATGAATATATTTATCGTTAATTAAATGCAAAGACTCAAGCACAGTGAAACACAGATATTTCTTACCACCAAATTACTGCATTTTCACAGCTATGTACACTTGTATATAGACAGGTAAGCCTTTTTACATAATTTGATATTTTACCCGGCAAGGATATGCATAATTATGTGGGGTATTTAATAAAACAAATCATGTGTGTTAAAGCCAGTGGTTAAAGCTTTCAGAAATATAAGTCTGTGTATATTTTTGGCAGGCAAAGTATCAAAATATGTAAACAAAGTTTACCCAGCTATTGTTAGATAATCATCATCCTTTGAGTGAACTATCGCGGTGAACAACATTACATATTCTCAAATGAACCATTGCTCAGGCCACATTTTTTTGCGTATAAACTAACAAAACATATATAAAGTTATAAACTAATGAACAAATACAATAAGATTACATGTGAAGCACGTTTCTAACGAACAGTACATAACTAATAGCAATAATACAAACTCACCATCTGTCCTTTGATTGTTCATACATGTATCAAAATCCTCTTCGCGGCATGCGCTTGAGCAAAAAATACCCATACTCCATCGAAGACAGAAGCTGGAGGCCCCGCTGGAGCAAGCCGCGACATGAACATATCGTTTCCAATTCTTCCAGCGAAAAGCTTTCTCCGAGTGCTTCTGCCATGACAGCAACAATGACTTTGGCAATGTGTTTTGACGAACAAATACCCCAAGGAAAAATTAGTGATTACTTTGACACTTCCAAAGTTTATTTTACAATGCCGAACATTAATATAAAATCAACACAATGACTCGCACCTTTGGGTCGGCTTTGTCGGTCTCTTCTGAATGTTTCATCAACGAGGCACACAAAAAACAAATGCCGAATTGATCAACAATATATCTTCCATTCATGATCTTTCAAAATATTTAATTGCTTGTCTTTCAGAAGACAATTTTAAAAAAATTAACAACTCCACTCCTGACTCGGACTCCATTTATATAGTGCATAGCCGCTATACTTCATATTATACAATTGAAGTGGATCCAAACCAAAACAAAAAATATAAACAAAGCCCGCACATGCGCAGAATGGACTGTAATCTAGCTTATATTAAGAGATGTGTAATACATTTCATGTACAGTTCATACATACATACATACATACATACATACAGTATTTAACTAAGTTCCACCACTGAAATTCTTGA